AGTGCCGGTCCCTCCGGTCCCTTGGCCGGCGACGGCTTCAAGTCATGCACGCGCTGCGGCCAAAACTCTAGACGCGTTTTGAGCTCCAGAGTCGCTGAACAGGACTCGAACCGAACGTGTGACCCCACCAATGGATTGCTCTGCGAACGAGGAATCCATTGGTGGGTCGTCCGGAGTTGTGTTTCAGCGACGCTGAAGATTAAAGCGCGTCTAGAATTTTGGCCGCCTCCACCGGTCTTCTGGCCCACTGTGCACTGTTTTTGAGTTCTGCTCTCGGGCTCCTGTTTGAACAGTTTATTTGCAGAGTATGAAAAGAGCGGATGAGTGGTGGTGGTGGTGGGAGTGTCCATGTCGTACATATTGCCTGAATGGGGCTTATCGCCAGCCACCCCGCCCCGCCATCGCTCACCGCACCCCGCCCCGCCCCGCCCCGCCCCGCCACGCCCATGTGGGGAGACATTCAGGGCGATACATTACAAGGCCGGCCGGCCCCCGGCCCTTGTTCGGCGTGCTCCGAGAAGGGCGCAGGGAGAAGGCACTCTGCTCGTTTGGAGAGAGCGAGGCGCTTCGCACAGCCTCGGGTACCCGCGAGTCTCCAGGCAGCCCTCCAGGACCTCCAGGAGGCCCTCCAGGACCTTCATGAACCACCAGAACTTCCAGGACCTCTAAGACCTCTAGCAATCTGCAGAGATCTGCGGGGCCTCCAGGAAACCCCGTGGGGCTCCAGGAACCTCCAGGACCTCCACGACCTCCATGACCTCCATCACCTCCATGACCTCTAGGACCACCAGGACACCCCGGAACCTCCAGGAAACTCCAGACTCTCCAGGACCTCGGCGAGCAGAGCATGCCAGAGCACTGCGGAGCCCCGCCACTCGATAATGCTTTATGAGTCGCGTTTATCACCGGCGATCGCCGGCACGCTAAATTGAACGCGACGATAATTCTCCGTTTGAGGAGGGAAGGAGCGGAAAAAGCATGGTGCAGTGGAGAGAGTACAACATGACGCATTAAGCGAGGGGCGCGAACGACGGTTGTAGCAGGGCACAATGTGTACCTCTGTAGTACCAAGCAGTCATTTCGAAAAGTGTCCCCGAGTGTCTCCTTTCAGGCTCTTTGAAAATATTGAAAAAAAAAACATTAATAGAAATATTATAGACGCAATTATGTCCTTTCAGCTTCCAGAAAATTAAAATTTGAAAATGGAACGAAAAAATCTCATTCAACGAACGTTAATGAAAGCAGATGATCCATCGCGGTTTACAACTGCTGTGATAGCCGAGAGGTTAGAGACGTGGGATCGAGTTACCGCAGGCGGGCGTTCGAATACCAGCGTCACATACATTTTTTCGACTTACTATCCTAAGGGTGGTGGTTCGAGGCCATCCGAGCGGAGCCGTGTGCAACAGACCCACATGCCGGAGGTTCGACTCCTAACAAATATTTCCATTTAATTTTACTGCCTCACCCAGTGCGGTTGAAACCCGTGAACGTGAGCCCACTCCGTGCATGGGACGTGGTGGTCCAGGGAGTAGAGGCGTCGGTTCCCAATGCTAGGATCGGCGGTTCGACTCCCCCAACTTCTTGCGAAATTTTGACCGGGTCGGTCGAGTCCTGTTGCGTCAAGAACCCACCTCACGCCGGTCCCCTCATCATGGGCCGTGGTGGCCGAGAGCGTAAAGTCGTGGGATCCCGGTGGCGGGGTCCGGGGATCGAATCCCATCATTTCATTACATTTTTCGACCGCCTTCCTCCCAGTGCAACTCAAACCCGTCGTCCAACACGCTGCCAGACGTACAAGCGTGATAGCGTAGTGGTCAGAGTCACATTCACCTGGCCACTTCGCTGTGGGTGTCTAAAAAGCAATCCGCTTCGGCGGGTTGGCCTCGGCACTGGAGCGATGGCGTATTTGATCCATCAATCCAGACCACCCGGTGTGTGGTTGCGGGTGGTGCCTCCTCGATTCGTCGGGGAGGCGATGATAAGTCCTTTGAAGCTGGCCTAAAACGCTGTATGTTCGGTACGGGAGCGCCGGACAGTGGGGGTACCATGGGGTACACAACCAACCCTACGAAAACAAGAAGCTCCCACCAAACCTCTTCTCTGTCTGAGTCTCTCTCTGTCTCTCTGTCGTCTCACTCTACGTCCCGCCCCTCTAAGAGCTTCACACTGGGTGCTCCGACCCAGCTGTCTGAGCTTTGGGGTCCTACTGGGTCCCCCGGCGAACGCTTGGGTCGCTGACGGGATTAACCCCAGGTACCTGATAGCACCGGTTCCCATCCCGAACACCGAAGTAAAGCAGGAGGCCTCCCCATTAAGACTGGGGAGGGGGTGTAGAGTTCAAATTTTTTTTCTTTTCCCTTTCAAATTTCACGAGGTGTTCTGCAGCGCAGTGTACTCACTCCAGGTATCAAGCTGGGGCATCCAGATCAGCACACCCGCTGTACCAGGCCTTATCCTTTGAAGCTGCTTCCCCGCCAGAGAGAGAGAGAGGGGGGGGGGGCTAGACAACGCAGCCTAACGGAAACTGCACGACAGAGTATGTCCAGGATTCAGGTGGGGGTGTGGGGGCTGGGGAGTGGATGCAGCACCACAATCAGTTGCGACGTCCCCAGACCAGCCTCTGGGTTTACGGGCCGGCCGGCCTGCCGAGCGTGACTAGAATAGGCCTAGCGAACCCCCAATGCCCCTCCCCCTCCCCCTTCCTGTCTGGGCCACTACCCCCTGGGCGTTTTATTCTCACCTGCAGGTCTTATCGCCTGCACTCCGATACAGCTCTCTCTCTCTCTCTCTCTCTCTCTCTCTCTCTCTCTCTCTCTCTCTCTCTCTCTCTCTCTCTCTCTCCTCTTTTTTCGGCCCAGTTCGGAGCGCAGTGCCTGTCACCTCTTACCGGGCCGTCGCGCCACGTGGTCGGGGCGGCAGACAAGGATAGGCACACGTTAAAAAAAACAGATAGAAAATTTAAAAAAAATTAAGGGAACATATAACACCTAAAATTATCTTGTTTTTTTTTTTACTTTTCTTTTAGGGGGAAGATTGTGAGGACCTTTAAATTCTCAGATTGCAGTGGTGTGGTCCGCCCTTCCTCGCAGTGCACGTCGCACTGCTGACCTTAATGTCGCATCCTTGCGTGCGACTTTGACCGACTTTGACCCTCAAGTCCGCGCGCCGCCGCACCACGCCCCGCGCGCTGCCGCCGAGCAGAGGGAGAGAGAGAGAGAGAGAGAGAGAGAGAGAGAGAGAGAGAGAGAGAGAGAGAGAGCTCTATTTCGGGCAGCGTTTCTAAAGTTAAAAGCGTGGAATGGGACTTGATGAGGGCGTGGCCCCGTCCGCGGCGCCCGCCCCGCGACGCCTCGTGGCGAGCGGGACAACACAGTTGGGCCGTGGCTGCCTTGGCAGGCTGCCAGTGCTGGCAGGACGACACCACGATGCCTGGAACGAGGCAGTCATGATCGCACCGAAGAAAAAAAAGAGCCGCTGCCGGGACTCGAACCCGCGTCCGAGAGCTGCTTGTCCCAGTCAATCACACCACCACTAGAGCCAGGCAGAAAACAACATCAACAAAGTTCGCAAGCGAGAGGCGGAAAACAAAAAAAAAGCTCGAAAATCACTTTGGCGCCGGCGGGATCCGAACCCGGGCGTATCACGTTGCCGCTGTTTGCCCTCATTGCGATTCAAATCCCCCGCGCCGCGCCGCGCTGCCGGAGTCTTAGTTGCAGTCTGACTGCGAGACTCGGAGCCTCACCGCCGGGGCTAATCTCAACCGCAGTCCCTTTACGACCCACCGTCCCCCTCACCCTCCCCCTCCCCGCCCCTGCCACCCTCCCGCGGTGGAGCCCCACTCTGTATGTGTTCACGCGGAAACGCGTCAACACAGACGAGTGCAGTTTCGCCGCTTTCGACTGCTCAGGCTGCTCAGGCTGCTCAGACGGAGAGCGGCGAAGCGGGGTGGGGGAACAAATGGCCGGACGAAAAATCGGTGAACGGTTTCGGGAATTTCGCGGCAGCCGAGGCGTGGGGTGCGCAGTGGGCCAGCAGATAGGTGGAGGCGGCCAAAGCTCCAGACGCGTTTTGAGCTCCAGAGTCGCTAAACAGGACTCGAACCGAACGTGTGACCCCACCAATGGATTGCTCTCCGAGTGAGGAATCCATTGATGGAGTCACACGTTCGGCTCGAGTCCCGTTTAGCGACTCTGGAGCTCAAAACGCGTCTAGAGTTTTGGCCGCCTCCACCGGTCTTCCGGCCCACTGTAGGTTGGGTGGCGCTCCCCCAGGACGAGGCCCAGGATCGCGGTGGGGCGCCGGCAGGACGATAAGCGAGGCAGTAATACGGTGACGCGTTCGGACGGCCGACGAGAAACCGCGCCGCCGAGCCGAGGCCGACTGCAGGCGTCTCTCGCACCCCTGCCGACACTGTAAAACCAAACGTGGACAACTCCACATTTGAAATGCGGAGGAGCGGAATTTTCAGTCTCCACACCTGGAAGTGCAGAGTTTGCAGTCTCCACACTTCAAACGTGGAGTTGTCCACGTTTGCACCATGCTAAGAGATAGGGGCCATGTGAGCTGCTCCACATTGAAGTGTGGAGGCTGCTAACTCTGCACTTCCAAGTGTGGAGACTTACTCCACACCAGGAAGTGTGGAGTTGTCCACGTTTGGTTTCACAGTGGAGCTCGCAGCGAGCGCGAGCGAGACGGAGCGACGCCGAGTCACCGACGAGCCCCGCGTCGTCCCTTCGCCCCGCAGCTCCATTCCGCGCTGTCTCTCTCGCACTCGCGGGGCGGCGGGAGGTGCGAGAGAGACAGCGCGAGGGCCTGCTGCGCCCCGGCGTCCCTACGCCCTCGCAGCGGCTCCGCCCTGCGCCGCACGGCGGGGCCTCTAGGCGGGGCCGGCCAGTCTGACGCGAGCCCCCCGCAGTTGGTGCGCCTGCCGCCGCGCGCCGCGGCCACTCGCCGCGTAGTTGGCAGCCCTGCTGTTGTTGTTGTTTTCGCACGTCGCCGGCACGCGTGCTCGCGGTTGGCGAACCTGCGGGGAGGTGCGACAGTGTAGCAGCGGGGTGTCAGAAACCATTATCCAGCCACTGCGCGCGGACGGCCTCTACGTCGCGCCCAAGAGGGAGGGAGGGGGAGGATCGAGAGAATCGAGTCGCATCGAGTAGTTGGAGCTCGTTAGTCGCGCCGCTGTCAACAGCGCTTGGGGAGGGTCCGGGTCGTCGCCTCGGGACACCGAACATCACGTCGACGAGCGGCGCGACAAAACGACTCTCGATCCGCAGATGGTGTGCCCGCCAAGACCGCCATGGAGTGCCCCTTGCTCGTCGTGGCCGTGCTGGCCGTGCTGGCGGTGGCGAGGGAGGCCGGGGCCTACTACGAACAGCAGGAGGAGATCCGCATCGGTGAGGAAGCGCTTTCCGCCGCACAGTGGGCCAGAAGACCGACGGAGGCGGTCAAAACTCCAGACGTGTTTGGAGCTTCAGAGTCGCTAAACAGGACTCGAACCGAGCGTGTGACCCCACCAATGGATTGCTCTCCGAACGAGGAATCCATTGGTGGGGTCACACGTTCAGTTCGAGTCCCATTTTAGTGACTGGAACTCAAAACGCGTCTCGGGTTTCCGCCCCCACCAGTCTTCTGGTCCACTACTGTGCGTCCGGGGTTCAAGGTTCCGGGTTCAACACCCGGAACACCACAACTTTTTTTTCGCAAGGTGGGCTGTTCCTGACGACGGAGGAGGACTGCGTGAGCGCGTTCTACGCGGCCATCGACGCCGTCAACGAGGACAAGGACGTCCTGCCGGATCACCGCCTGGTCGGCGTGGACGTCGCGGTGCCCGAGTTCGATGCCCTCGAGGCGCACAAGCGTGGTGAGCTGGCTTCAAATCTCCATCCTCACTCTTTTTATTTTTTCATTACGACGTGCGTGCAGAAAATGACTCATCATCCCTTTCATAAATATTGACCCTCGAAATAATCAAGCCACAAAAATACAGATTCGTACTTTTTTGACGGGGGCCGTCTAAATGCAGACGTATAACATAACCTCCATTCTTGTCAAAACATTACCTCGGTCGGTCCGAGCAAAGCCCGCTGTCGGGGCTGGGCGCGCGGTAAAATGGAAGCAGCGAACAGTGGGCCACCGTGGCTCCTGCACGACCCCACCTGACCTCCAGACATGAAGACGCACCACCAGCACCCTGCCGCCTTGCTGGCTGTGGCTGTGGACGCGCCGCGGGCCGCGCCGCATTGCCATGCAAACCAGCGCCATTAAATTAACGCCCTAACCCCCAGGGCTCCGCCGCGGCACCGCGGAGCTCCTCCAGGGCCTGGGGGCCTCCAGGGGCTGGGCCGCTGGCCGCAGGCCGCACGGCCCGCCCTTGGCCGGCAACACCTTGCTCAGAATAATCGCATTTCGCCGGGGAAACTCGCAACGCCCCGAAATGAGTCCTCGTTTTTTGTTTTGTTTTTTGTTTCTCGCAGTGTGCGAGCTGCTGGCGGGGGGCGTGGCCGCGGTGCTGGGTCCGTCCAGCGGCGTCCCCGCCACGCACGTGCAGGCCGTGCTGGACGCCGTGGACGTGCCGCACCTGGACACCCGGCCCGGCGCCGGCGCCGCCACCACCGGCCTGCTGCAGGTGCACTTGCACCCCTCCGTGGAGACTCTGGCCCGGGTAAGCAGAGTCCCGACAAAATTTCAGAAGGCCGTCCAATTGCGTGCTTTTGCCTGACTGGGCTGCCTCCTCCAAGATGCTCCCGGCTGTGGTGGCGGCGCTGGGGTGGACCGCCTTCACCGTGGTGTACTTCGACAGCTCCTCGCTGCACCGCCTCTCCGGCCTGCTCAAGATGTACGACTACACGGGCTACACCGTCACCCTGCGACAGATGCCCCCGGGCGAGGACTACCGGTGGGTACCCGCTCCACACAGGGCCAGGGGACCGGTGCAAGCGGTTGAAACTCTAGACGCGTTTTGAGCTCCAGAGATGCTAAGCAGGACTCGAACCGAACGTGTGGCCCCACCAATGGATTCCTCGTTCGGAGAGCAATCCGTTGGTGGGGTCTAAAGTTCGGTTCGAGTCCATTTGGCGACTCTGGAGCTAAAAACGCGTCCGAAATTTTGACCGCCTCCACCGGTCTTCTGGCCCACTGTGCACTGCGCGTCGCTGCAGCGCCATGTTCAAGGACTTGAAGCGGTCCGGGGAGACCTTCTTCCTGGTGGACTGCCCCTTCGAGCGGCTCAACGAGGTGCTGGTGCAACTGCAGCAGTGCGGGCTGCTGGTGGACCCCTACTGCTTCTTCTTCACCAACCTGGTGAGCGAGCGCGCCGACGAACTTGGCCGCCGCTACCGTGGCCGTCGCGCCAGCACTCTCTCTCTCTCCCTCTCGTTGCAGGACCTGAGCACGCTGGACCTCTCCCCCTTCCGATACGGCGGCGCCAACATCACGGGCGTCAAGCTCGTTAGCGCGGCGCAGCCTCTCATCGGCCTCCAGGACGACGTCGACGACGACCTGGAAGACGGCACGCAGGCCGAGGCGCAGGCACCCACCGCCATGAGGGTACGTCCCCTGTCTGCCTGTCTGTCTGTCTGTCTGTCTGTCTGTCTGTCTGTCTGTCCGTCCGTCCGTGACGACGACACGACGGCGCGGCACAAGTGGGGCTCCGTTTACACACCGGGAGGGTGGCGCTGGATGGGATTAAGTCGACGAGGGCCTCGATGAGGGCGGCGGTAAAACTACCCATCCACGCCGCCCCCGCCGCCCCCGCCGCCGATTGCTATTGCCTGGCCAAACACCCCTCACCTCTCTCCCTCTCTCTCTCTCTCTCTCTCTCTCTCTCTCTCTCTCTCTCTCTCTCTCTCTCTCTCTCTCTCTCCAGCTCCAGGCCGCGCTGTTCCACGACGGGGTGCGCCTCGTGGGCCACGCCCTGCAGCAGCTGGCGCCGCACGCGCTGGCCACCAGGCCCATGGCCTGCAACGCCTCGGACAGCTGGGAGCACGGCGCGTCGCTCTTCAACTTCATCCGCACGGTGAGTCCTGGATCCGTCTCAATTCACCTACTTTTCTACTTTTTTTTGCCGCCACCGCCGCCGATCGGCGGGTCCGTTGTATCGTTCCCGGGCGGCAAAATATTGCAGTCCATGCTGGCGGCCCTAACGCCATCCCACGCCCTCTGCCCCTGCCCTGGCCGGCTTGATTCGGTTGGCCGGCGTCCAGGTCCTACAGACACCATCAGCCGGGACGCGGTCGTGCCCGTCTCTCTCTCTCTCTCTCTCTCTCTCTCTCTCTCTCTCTCTCTCTCTCTCTCTCTCTCTCTCTCTCTCTCTCTCTCTCTCTCTCTCGCTCCGACGGGGACCGCGGACCCATGACAGGGATGGCGGATAAGAATCCGCGGTCAGGGGTCTGGGCGGGTCTGGGACAGGGGCCGGCAGGGCAGCCCGCACAGTGGGCCAGAAGACCGGTGAAGGCGGTCTAATTCCCGGACGCGTTTTGAGCTCCAGAGTCGCTTAAGGCACTACGCGGCTACGCGGCTTCATTCATGGTCTCGCGCGGTGGGAGAGTCATCCTGCCCCCACTCCACGCCGCGTTCGCGGGGGCCGACGTCCCCGACGTCCCCGTCAAGCGCAGAGCAGAGCCCCCTCCGCTTGCGCCGGCTTGCGCCCTCCGCTTGCGCCAGGCGCGCGCTCCGGCCAAAGCTCGGCAAAAAATATGGGTCCCGCCCCGCCTGCGATATGTGTATGTTTGTGGCGTGAAACATGAACGCCGCCGGCAGTGCACTGCAGTGGCGCCGAGGCGCGAGCTCGCGGTGATTCACTGCGGACGTGCCGGCGGAGCGCGCTCCAAGACAAGCGGCCCGGGTTCAAATCCCGGCCGGGCCTGTTCGTTTTTAAGCCGCGCGGCGCACAGTGGGCCAGAAGACCGGCGCCGGCGGCCGAAGCTCCGTAGTACGCGTTTCGAGCTCCAGAGTCGCTAAATAGGACTCGAGCCGAACGGGTGACCCCACCAATGGATTCCTCGTTCGGACAGCAATCCATTGGTGGGGTCACTCGTTCGGTTCGAGTCCCATTAGCGACTCTGGAGCTCAAAACGCGTCCGGCGTCATTGTCTCAATTTTTGGTTGGCAGAGCGAGGTGCGAGGGCTGTCCGGGCTGCTGCGCTTCGACCACCGCGGCCGGCGCTCCAGTGTGCTGGTGGAGCTGCTGGAGCTGGCGGAGGACGGCACGCACAGCCTCGGCTTCTGGAACACCACGGAGGGCCTCAATATGACGCGCGCCCGGCCCCGCTCGCCCGGCGGCTACCTCGCCGCGCAGAACCCCATCTTCTTCAACAAGACCCTCACCGTGCTCATCGCCATGGTGAGGGAGAGAGAGAGCGATGGAAACGACTCTCTGCTGGTCGGGGACGTATCTCCAGCTCCAGCTCAGGCTCCAGCGTCGCTAAACGGGCCTCGAACCGAACGCGTGACCCCACCAATGGATTGCTCTCCGAACGAGGAATCCATTGGTGGGGTCACACTTTCGGTTCGAGTCCCATTCAGCGACTCTGGAGCTCAAAACGCGTCCGCGATTTTGACCGCGTCCGCAACCTCTGGCAGACGCAGCCCTACTCCATGCTCAAGGAGGCCAGCAAGAAGCTGTCGGGCAACGAGCAGTACGAGGGCTTCGGCGTGGAGCTGATCGACGAGTTGGCGCGCATGCTGGGCTTCAACTACACGTTCGTCGTGCAGGAGGACGGCAACTACGGCACCTGCGACCCGGACGACGGCACCTGCACGGGCATGATGGCCGAGGTCAACGAGGGGGTGAGTCGGCGCCCGGAGGTCGTGGGTTCGATAACCGTCCAGCCCTGCTTTATTTTTCTGCTTTTTTGACCCGGCAGCGAGTGGACCTGGCCATCGTGGACCTCACCATCACCTCGGACCGGGAGAGCCGCGTCGACTTCACCACGCCTTTCCTGAGCTTGGGTACGCCACCTGTTTCTCCGCCCCGGTCGCGGGTTCGACCCCCACCCAGTGCCTCAGCTTTCCTTTCTGCCTCAGGCATCCAAGTGCTGTACCGCAAGCCCACCAAGCTGCCGCCCAGCCTCATGTCCTTCATGTCGCCCTTCTCCAACGAAGTCTGGCTGCTCATGACGGCCGCCTACACTGGCGTGTCGCTGCTCATGTTCGTCATGGCTCGGTGAGTACGTCAACGCCTGCGGGGTCCACAGTCCCGCCAAGCAGGCGTGCGTTGCATGCCGTGGTTGCCTACCCTGGACTCCGCAGGCGCGCCAGCCTCCAGTGGGTCAATCTTAGTCTGTCTCTCTCTCTCTCCCGCAGGATCAGTCCGTACGAGTGGAACAACCCCTACCCGTGCGTGGAGGAGCCCGAGGAGCTGGAGAACCAGTTCAGCCTCAGGAACGCCTTCTGGTTCACCATCGGCTCCATCATGCAGCAGGGCTCGGAGATCGCGCCGATGTAAGCACCCCAGCACCCAGCCAGCAGGGGGCCAAAGACGCGTTTTGAGCTCCAGAACCGCTGAACAGGGCTCGAACCGAACGTGTGACCCCACCAATGGATTCCCCGTCCGGAGAGCAATCCATTGATTCGGTCGCACGTTCGGCTCGAGCCCCATTTAGCGACTCTGGAGCTCCGGGATTTTGACCGGTCTTCTGGCAAACCCACTGTCCGCGGCTCGTGTTCCTTGGGATTTTTTTGCGGGTCCTTTGAGTGAAAGGAGGGCCGGCGTGTCCCTCCGTCCCTTCGTCCGGAGTCCCCGACAATTAGCAGCCAAATTATAGGGCCTAAGGGCCGAGGCCCGAAGGCCTGGCCGTCGACCTGAACGGCGCCACTTGGACCTGCGACAGGACGCCGTTGCGCCCGGACAGCCTCTCCCACACGTAAAAAAAGAATTTGTTGTGACAACGAAAATGTATGTTGATTTTCGGATAGCTATAAAAAGTTGTTAGGCGTACTAACAATTCGTTGCCAGAACGAACATTTCGTTCTGACAACGAACTATATCGTCAGGAGTACTAAACATGATAAAAATGAATGTTTGTACTCCTGACGAATTATTTGTCGTGAGAGCAAAGTGTTCGTTCTCACAACCAATTATTAGTACGCCTCACAACTTTTTTTTTTGCTATCCCAAAATCAACATACATTTTCGTTGTCACAACAAATTCTTTTTTTCCGTGCAGACATTCGCTCCCTGACCGACCACCGAACTCAGCTCCCAGACGGCGTCAACATTTGCTCACTGCCTTCCCAAATTTGCCCCCCCCCCAACTGCTGAAACTTTGGCCCCACATCGGTAATAAAATTGGCGTCCAAATTTAATTTTTTGGTGTCTCTACGAACGAAATTAGCCTTCACTTAGAATTTTGGCCGACGCATTCTTTATCGTCAACTATTGGGTGATGAATAATACCTCACCCGAAAATTTCAGTCCTGGTTTATGGACTCTCTTCCATACCCCGCGAAAATGGCCCTGCACTGCCGATAGCCCGGCCGCGCTATCCGCAGGACGCAGGACGGACTATTCGCAGAGCCGCGGCCAGCCGGTCGGCCGGCCGAAGCTCATAGAGGGGCCCCAGCCTAACTTGTCCAAAAGTAGTCCGTCTCGAGCCGCAGAGCGGCGGGAAAGCATGATTCCGTGCACAGTTTCACCAATTTCAAGTTGTAACTCGCTTTTATCTGTGGTTAATCATTTTGTTCGCACTAGAAGAGAATCTGAGCTTCAAGTTGATGCCGGTCTTTCACATGAGACATGTGTGGTTCACGCTGCATAATGTGCCCCAGTTGACCATGCGAAGTACGGTCTTCATGCAGTTCCAGCTTTCCCCTTGATTTTAGTAATCAAAACAGCTATTTATCAGAGTTTTCTTGTTTGTTCGCACTAGAAGACACTTGGCTGAATCTGAAACTGACGGCTCATTTTAACACGCACGTACCGTAGTTGCTGTATAATGTGCCCCGTTTCAAATTTGGTTTCCCGACGATACTAGTTAGGCTGATTTGTGTATTTTTAAAATGGAACGGTGTTTCGTTGGTCATATTTGCGATTTTTAATGGGTAAAATGAAATGCTTGGAATTTATTAGGTACACATTGTTTGACATTGTATTTGATATCTGTTCAAAATCGTCAAAACGGTTGCCTTGTGACCGTAGGCCTGTCTTCTGCTATGTCCTCTGCTACTCGACCCGCAAAACCAAGCCGGCGGGGCGGATGGTCTGAAAGCTCCGAAAGAAGACTCGTTCCAGGTTTTGGGTTTCCGCCTCTATTGTAGGATGAAACTGGTGACGCACGTTCCATCTAGCTACATCCTGACTTAAAAGTATCCGAGAACTATTTGCCCTCGCGGCTGAATACAGTGCACTCCGTCCGCCGGGCGCGCGGAGTGACTTGGACAAGTTATGCTGGGGCCCCTATAAACGCCCGGCCCGTTTCAGAGCGCCGTTTCGAGACGGTGTTTACGCGGCGTGGCCGTGCCATGGCAGTGCCGTGGCAGGCCGGCGTCTCTCTCGCACCCCACGCGGCACGCGGCACGCCCCGTGAGTGTGAGAGAGACAGCCTGCTCGGGCCGCTGGTACTGTGCGACTGGGTGGGACGTGTCCTGGGGGACTAACTGTCCCGCACTCAGTAGGGTGAGTTTTCAATTTGATTTCGACAAACATCGTTGACTGTTAAATAGGTTCCTCAGTCCGCACCGGATGCCACACAACCCGAGACGAAATTCACCTGATATTTAGGTGTGTCTTTTAAACGGAGTGTGGTGGAAGGAAGCTAAAATGGCCTCGACCTCAGCGAGCGGCAGAGAATAGAAAGAGAAAGGAATCGTCCTTCCCGGGAAAGTGAGGAAAATGTGGGCGTGGGTGGATCCCCGGCGCGAACCGCCGACCGCCGTGACGAAGCGAACGAGGCGCGTCGCGGTTAGGGTGGCCACTCGGCGCGGACGCGGCGCGGCGGCCACTCTAGCTGAGCCCAACACTAAGGAGACACGGCGTTTCCGAGCGGCAGATCCGCAGTGGGCCAGAAGACCGGCGCAGGCGGCCAAAACTCTGGACACGTTTTGAGCTCCAGAGTCGCTAAATGGGACTCGAACCGAACGTGTGACCCCACCAATGGATTGCTCTCCGAACGAGGAATCCATTGGTGGGGGTCATACGTCGAACTAAGGAAAGGTCGGACAAGAGAGGCCGATCGAAATTTCCCTCTTTCCTTGCAGTGGTGCCTCCACCCGCATCGCCGCCAGCATCTGGTGGTTCTTCACGCTCATCATGGTGTCCTCGTACACCGCCAACCTGGCCGCCTTCCTGACGGTCGAGTCGCAGTACAAGCGCATCAGCAGTGCCGAGGACCTGGCCGACCAGGACTACATCAAGTACGGCGCCAAGCGCGGCGGCTCCACCCTCACCTTCTTCAGGGTCAGCACCACCTCGGCACAGTGGGCCAGAAGACCGGTGGAGGCGGCCAAAACTCTAAACGCGTTTTGAGCTCCAGAGTCGCTAAATGGGACTCGAGGCGAACGTGTGACCCCACCAATGGATTCCTCGTTCGGAGAACAATCCATCGGAGGGGTCACTCGTTCGGTTCGACTCCCATCTAGCGACTCTGGAGCTCAAAACGCGTCCGGGATTTTGACCGCCTCCACCGGTCTTCTAGCCTACTGTGCTTCGCCTCCAATTTTGGTACTGTTTTCGGGGCCGTGTGTTTTGACTTGCGAAAATGGGTTTTCCAGGAGACGACGAACCCCGTGTACCGCAAGATGTACGCCCAGATGATGGAGTGGGACGCGGCCGGCGAGCCGGTGCTGCAGCACGGCAACGAGGAGGGGCTGGACAAGGTGGCCGCCAGCGACGACTACGCCTTCTTCATGGAGTCCGTGGCCATCGAGTACATGATGGAGCGCAACTGCAACGTGACCAGCGTCGGCAGCAGCCTGGACGAGAAGGGCTACGGCATCGCCATGGCCAAGAGTGCGTCGCTGCCCGCCGCACAGTGGGCCGGAAGACCGGTGGAGGCGGTCAAAACCCCGGATGCGTTTTGAGCTCCAGAGTCGCTGAATGGGACTCGAACCGGACGTGTGACCCCACCAATGGACTGCTATCCGAACGAGGAATCCATCGGTAGGGTCACACGTTCGGCTCGAGTCCCATTTAGCGACTCGGGAGCTCAAAACGCGTCTAGAGTTTTGGCCGCCTCCACCGGTCTTCTGGCCCACTGTGCAGCGTATCCGCCACCCCTTTTGTTGCTTGTTGTTTTCCGCGCGAGCTAATTGCCTTCGTTTTCAGACGCGCCCTACCGCAGCGCGCTCAGCGCCGGGGTGCTGCGGATGCAGGAGACGGGGCGCATGATGGAGATGAAGGACAAGTGGTGGAAGAACAAGCGCGGCGGCGGCGCCTGCATCGTGAGTGTGTGTGGCTCTCACACGGAGTCCCATTAAGCGACTCTGGAGCTCAAAACGCGTCCGGGATTTTGACCGCCTCCACCGGCCTTCTGGCCCACTGTGCCTGCAGGGCCCCACGGTGACGGACGTGAACGAGCTCAACATGGACAACGTGGGTGGCGTCTTCCTGGTGCTGGTGTCGGGCTCCGTGCTGGCCATCTTCGTGGCCGTGGCCGAGCTGGCGCTCAACGTGTACCGCACCGCCGTCAAGGAGAAGGTGCTCTCTCGCTCTCTCTCTCTCTCTCTCTCTCTCTCTCTCTCTCTCTCTCTCTCTCTCTCTCTCTCTCTCTCTCTCTCTCTCTCTCTCTCTCTCTCTCTGTTACACACACACACTACCGCTCTCACTCTCCCCCTCTCTCCCACAGCTGTCGTTCCGCGACGAGTTCCTGGAGGAGGTGCGCTTCATCCGGAAGTGGTCGGGCTCCGTGAAGCCGGTGCGCCACCTCCGCATCGGCGAGGAGACGAAGGCGGGCAGCCCGGACTCGGGCGGCGGCACGCCCGGCGACGGCGACACGCCCGAGAAGCAGAGGCAGGGGCTGCTGAGCTGACAGCTCACAGTGGGCCAGAAGACCGGTGCAGGCGGTCAAAGTCCCGGACGCGTTTTGAGCTCCAGAGTCGCTAAACGGTACTCGAACCGAACGTGTGACCCCATCAATGGATTGCTCTCCGAACGAGGAATCAATTGGTGGGGTCACACGTTCGGTTCGAGTCCTGCTCAGCGACTCTGGAGGTCAAAACGCGTCCAGGGGTTTGCCCGCCGGCGCCGGTCTTCTGGCACACTGTGGCGCGTCAGCGCGTCAGCGACAGCATTCCCGCGCTGCAGCCCAGCCGGAAGTCTGCGTCCGACACTTCCGACTTCCGGTCGCGTGGCTGCCTGCCTGGCTGCCTGCCTGCCTGGCCCAGCAGACGACAGTGCCAGCGATTCGCGGAGGGGACCCTCCAAAGTTTGGCTCTGCCGGCCCTGCAGTTCGGAAACACAGCACAAACCCGGACGGCGCAGCAGCGCAAGGAAGCGGGGAACGAGAGCGGCCAAGTCCTCTCCACTGGAGAGGCCCTCCGTCTGGCACGTGCGGTGTGAAATCGCTTTATCCGCATTTAGAATAAATGACATTTTTTTTACCGAGAACAAGGCACTTGTTTTTTCTTGCTTCGCGCCGCGCCTCGCCTCGCCGCGGGAGTTTCCTGACAGTTCCCTCGATTCCGAGATTCGGAGACGCGAACCCCAGACAGGGCCCTGCCCCCGCCGCGGCCCCCGCTGTGCAGTCTGCATCCAAAGCGATGCATTGACGGGCCATTCAGGGCGGCGCGGGGTCTTCCCCGCTGTCTCTCGCGCGCCCCGCCGGCACGCCCCTCGAGAGCGAGAGGGACAGAGCGACGAAAGCGACGTCCGGAGCCGGCCTGCCGACGGCCTGCTGACTCGCCCAAATGCAGATGATACAGGTCAGCCAACTTTGCAGCAACTTGCAGTCGAACTGCAGCAGGTCATTTCCTCACCGCCTTGGTCCCTGCGGCGGCGGTGCGGCAGCGTGGCGGCAGCCCCTGCACTTCGCCCAGGGCCTACACTGCGCACAGTCGATTTGCCAGAAGACCGGTGGTGGCGGTCGAAACCCCGGATGCGTTTTGAGCTCCAGAGTCGATAGACAGGGCTCGAACCGAGCGTGGGACCGCACCTATGGATTCCTCGTTCGGAGAACAATCCATTGGTGGGGTCACACGTTCGGTACGAGTCCCATTCAGCGACTCTGCCGGAGCTCAAAACGCGTCCGGAATTTTGACCGCCTCCACCGGTCTTCTGGGCCACCGTGCGGCACTAATTTTTAATGTTGGCTGGAAGATGTCTCTCGGTGTGTCCCAATTTTCTTTTTTACGCACGCGTTGTTGGTGGCGTCCGTGTTATTTCGCAGTAACGCCCTATTTTTTTCTGCAGATGAGCTGGCGGGCAGCGCCACGGCTGGGCTGGGCTGTGTCTTTACACGATCATTACATTATTTTCAGCCACCCTCCGTGCCAGTTAGTCCCGTCCAGACCAGGCTGGTGCACTCCTGAGGGAGCAACCAGGACGACGTCCCCACGGCCCCACCCCGCCCCCCCCCGCCCCCCCGCCCCCGCCGCGCCTCGAGTAGTCACGTGCAATCAAGTCTAATAGAGTTGCAATTGTGTATTTGCCCGGAGTGGACCCATTAGGGAAGTCCGGCCGCCCTTCCAGTGTGCCTCCAGCGGGCCTCCAGTGGGACTGCACACGACTCAGCAGACTGATTCCGAGAGTCGTTTTCGTCGCGCTGTCCCTCTCGCACCTAGAGGGGACGCCCCATGAGTGCGAGAGAGACAGCGACGAAAACGATCTCATTGCCTGGAGGCAAAGGCCCTGACCGGTTTCCC